CACCATCTAGGGTCAACCCAATCAGGCACTCTAAAAGAAATAAAAAAGTATGATCCTAAAAATGTAGAAAAATCACTCTAAAAGAAATTAAGGACAAATTAAAAGTTTTGTCAGGATATAAGGTAGGGAGAGAAAATATGTAAAGAAATGAGTGCTATTAATTGTTGTACTTATGGGTCAATACAGTAGGCTCATAAGATAAGTAAGAACTTAAATAGATTGTAGAAAACGTTAATTACTAAACAGGGTTTAAAATCTAAAGCAACAATTACACAAAAAATATCTGATAATATGAAACATTTTTTTAATTATGTAATAACTGGTACCAGAAGAGCTGATGACATTCTACAATTAATAATAAGTAGTTTTAACTGAGTAACAGGCAAACTACACACGATCACTTTGCCCTAGGTCATCAGGTGGGTACCCTAACTGCTAGCAGTGTTTTCAGTTCTTAAACCAAGAACATATGATGAGGTTGGGCCTGTTTAACAATTAAAATGGTGTAGTCTATCAAATCAACTGTAAAGTTTGTCAGATTTATTATATAGGGGAGGTGGGTAGAAAAAACTTCTTTAGTATGTGGACACAGTAATAAAAAAGTCAATATGAAGTAAAATTTCAACAGTTTAGTTGTTTTAGGTAAAGAAAAATATTCAGTTGAGGTGATAAAAATTGTTCGGGTAATTACGGGCTTATTAGCCTTACATCAGTGGTGTGAAATATTATTGAAAGTGTGAAAAAAGATGCTTTGCAAATTCCTTTAACAAAGTTTCGTTAGGGGAAAATCTTCACCCTTAGACTTTAATCATTCATCCTCTGTTTCGGAGGTCCGTGTAGAAAAGTAAAACAGTATAGTCACTCCTATTCAATTCATAAACAGTTCCACACTTAAATCACGTCGCTTTTCAACTCTTTTCATTTACACTCATTTTACAAAAGAACTGACATCAAAACTCTATTCATGAAAGCAAATTTTCTAAACAAAGCTCTTATTTTAACCGTATCAAAATTAAGTTTTTAGGGGAAAAAATCTTTCCTTACTAATCTGATATTCTTTCAATAGCTTGGTGCTTTTTTTGAGGGGAGTAAAGGTGTAGGTTTGTTATATTTGGATTTTTATTTGAGAAGGTGCCTCATTAATGGCTCATCAAAACTTATCTGGGTATGTGTGAATATCATTAAAATACTCTAACGATCAATGTTTTCATTAATGGCTCATCAAAAACGTATCTGGGTATGTGTGAATATCATTAAAATACTCTAACGATCAATGTTTTATGTGTGAATATCAGTAAAATACTCTAACGATCAATGTTTTCATTAATGGCTCATCAAAAACTTATCTGGGTATGTGTGAATATCATTAAAATACTCTAACGATCAATGTTTTATGTGTGAATATCATTAAAATACTCTAACGATCAATGTTTTATGTGTGAATATCATTAAAATACTCTAACGATCAATGTTTTATGTGTGAATATCATTAAAATACTCTAACGATCAATGTTTTATGTGTGAATATCATTAAAATACTCTGACGATCAATGTTTTATGTGTGAATATCATTAAAATACTCTAACGATCAATGCTTTTAAGTACACAATTAAAAATTTAATTTCAAGAGTTATCAACGGATATAAACAGGTACTCTGCATGTTTCGATATTGATGATGATGATGATGATATGATTCAATGTCGTAACACGTAGAGTGGCTGTTGAAGAGCAACACTCTCTTCACAGCTAGCAACACCCAAGACTTTAATACCATCAGCAAATTTTAGTCATATATTGACCATTCCTTCATCTATGTCATTGATGTAAAGGTCCTAAGATTGAGCCAAGAGGTACCCCCACTTGTGACATCAATTCAGTTTGATGGAACTCCATTTATAAGAACATCTATGCTTTCTTCCACTCAGCCACTCTTTTATCCAATGAGCCAACTTATCCTCCACACCAATAGAGATCATTTGTAGCAATCCTTGAAACTTTAAAATGACTTTGCAAAGTATCTTTTATCAGACTTTAAAAAAACTTTTCCTGCAACTAATGTAAGGCTAATACGCCTATAATTACATGGACAATCTTTATCACCTCCCTTGAAAAGAGGAGTAACATTAACCAACTTTCAATCTTCCAGCACCTGCCCACTATTCAAGGACTTATAATAGGAAGTGGCCCACATATCCAATCCGTTACCTCCTTCAAAAGTCCTGGAGAATTTTTTTCTTAACAAGCTTGGAATTAATGTGGTCATCTTATTTACATCTAGCAACTGTTCAGGATGAGGAATATTGCTTAAATCTTCATTAATGAAACTTGAAGAAAAAAACATAATTTAATAATTCAGCCATCTCATAATCATCAAACATATGATTTATCATCCCTTTGAGGGATGATACCCCCCATCCTAACATTTTTGCTTACCCTTAATATATTTCAAGAAATCCTTACTATTAATTTTCACATTTTCAGACAACGTTTTTTCCGTAAAGTTTTTTTTTCGATCACTTAATTTCCCGTTTAAGAAACTCGTTTGTTCTTCTATAATTTTGTAAATCTCCCATCATTGCAGTTAACTTATACTTCTTAAATTTATAATGTTATTCTTTAATCTTATCTCTTATACCCAACCAACCTGGTTTTTTTTTTACTTGTAACAATCCTTTTTTGTTTTACAAATAACATACCCAACTTAAATATTTAAATTTTTAATTTGAAAACTTTTCCACAGTTGGTCAGTGTTTCCAGTTAGCCCCCCCCCCCCCCCCCACGTGGCACAGCAGTACATCTGCAGATTTACAATGCTAAAAACATGGGTTTCGATACCCGTGGTGTGCAGAGCACAGATAACTCGCTGTGTAGCTTTGTGCTTAACTTAAAACAAACAAATCTCCAGTTATCTCAGCTGCCCAATTTACAATAGATAATTCTAATTGCATTTCTTCAAAATTTGAACTAAAATTAAATTGTTTTTGATGTTCATACACAGTAAATAATCTAACCTAATAGAGCAGTGTTTCCCAACCGGTGGTTCGCGAACCCCCTAGAGACTCGGGAGATAATTCTGAGGGGTTCATTTAGAAAAAAAAAGGGTTCAGAATTGCTGTAATAGAGCAATTATCACATGCTCTCCAATCTCCACATATTCACCCATTTCTATATTAGAAGTTAACAATAAATCTAAAATAGCATGTTTTCTAGTGGGTTCCCTAACCAATTGGCAAAGAAAAAACATCCTGAACGGTTTCTAAAAATCTGTCTCCATCGTGACCTGACTCCCAATTTTCCCAATCTGTATGTGTGAAATTAAAACCTTCATAATTAGGACCTCATTAACAGCCGAATTCTTTATCTCGCTTGTAGAGTTTCTCATTAATTTCAACAGTTTCATCTGGTGGTTTGTAACAAATTCTCACTAAAATCTTTCTCTCCTGATAACCACTAACAGAAACCAAATTAGATTCAGTCTTGTTACAGAGTCACTGTAACTAGTACACATGTAGCCTCTACAAATTTTTATATTCATAGTGGCTGATACACATATGGATTCTTGCTTTTAAAATTTCCAAGCGAGGTGTTGGATTGTACATTTTTGTGGTGATGTTGTCCCTCGAGATTCAGCTACATGTTGTCATACGGTAAGCCAATTCTTTCTGCCTTCTACGTGTTATTACTTTCCGTCAAGTTGTCAGAGAGGCCTGTACGACAACATCTCGCTGGCAGGGTAGCAAGCGCCGCCGGGGCTGTGGGAAATCCATATTATTTTATGGATTTACTAGATAACATTGACTGTGAGTTGACACAGTTAATAACAAAAAAAAAAAACATTTACAGGCCACATTTGTACCAGCTGCACTGAAGGGGTTGAGAGGATGTAACTCACTTTTTACATATAAATCCATTCCCCCCCATCTTTAGTACTCTATCTCCCACCCCCAAGTAAATAACCTATAACCCTGTATATCAAGGAAATATCTGTCATCAACATTTTCTGAGTTTCAATTATTCTCGTTATATCAAACATTCTATTCCAACCAGTTCTCTAAAGCAATCTATTTTTATTTCCATACATCTTATTTTTTCTGCATTTAGTCTATCCCGACCCTCGTCACCATCTAGTTCTAGTTAACGGCATTAATAGCCCCGAGTTAATGGTGTGGATCGCATGAAGTGAAAATCCAAAGGTTTCAAAAAAGAGTGTTCAGTTGGATTTGGAACAACAAGTAGCAGATTTTGATTAAACTGAAATTTGTCTTTACTTGCAGGATCCCGATGTTCATGTGACATTTGAAGATCAACAGAAAATCAACAAGTTTGCAAGAGAAAATGCAAAACTGGAAGAACTGAATGATGAGCTTAATGTTAAAAAGGTAAGATTCAAGGTTTTATACGGTACTTCAGGGTTCATTATGTTTGGGACAAACAGAGTTAAGCACGTAACCATGTTTTTTTAATCAGTTGAACAATAGACAATGGTGATTACCAATCATCTGTGAAGCCTTTGGTAGTTATTCATTAATAGATTATGAACTTGTATTAATTACATGACTCAACTGTAACTTGAACTATTACAGACTTATTGTGTGATGTGGTTTTCTTTGGTTAATAGCTCACTATTAAGAGTGCTACTCTAAGAATGATGAACTGAGTGTAGCCTAGCCATTTATTAAGCCAGACTAGGGGTTAAGGTTCCATGGTTCTCATTCTGTTACCACTAAAAGTTGGAGGTTTTGACTAACTACCTTTCCTCTAGTCCATCACTTCAAAATGGCTAGCACAGATAACCCAAGAAGTCCAGCAAACAATCTTGGAATGATATTGTTGATTGTACTTATCTGATGGAAGTGATTATGCATGTTCTCCAATAGCATGTTTTTCAGTATAATTTTGACACTGTTAGTCTGAAACGTCTTGTGACCATATTAAAGTAGACCAAAGGTATAAAAGATTATTGAAGGTGCATCAGGGAACGTAACACTAATGAGGTGAAATGGGATTGCTGTGGTTGCAGTCTCTTTGGCAGTATTTTCCAGGAAAACAGCCATTTTTTTTAATTTTACTAGGAGATATTTCTAGCTTCATCACAATAACTTTTAAAGAGGTATGTGTATTATCCTCCTAACCCTCGATGATGGTATTGGTTCTGATTGGGTTGACCCTAATGGTAGTATTGGAATTTTTCTACATTTTTAGGATCATACTTTTTTAAAGAATTAAAAATGTAGAAAAATCACTCTAAAAGAAATAAAAAAGTATGATCCTAAAAATGTAGAAAAATCACTCTAAAAGAAATGGATCATACTTTTTTCACTCTAAAAGAAATATTTTTCTACATTTTTA